ACTGAGGAAATCTGATGACATTGAAGCTGAAATCACCGCTTCGTTATATATGTAGTTTGGTACTGATCTTATCATTGGTTATATACTGAAGCCTAAATAACTACTCTTTCTTTCACTCAAATGTGCTTTTCGAGTTCACGCGTATTTTTAAATATTGAAGAAAATATTATAGATCTTTGTTGTCTGATTCAGTTTGGTTATGTACTATTAGTAAATCGTCTGTATACCTGGGTGAAGTGTTTATTCTTATTTAACCTTTGACTTTAGAATAATCGTATTCCGTAATTGAAAGAGTCAGATCCGCTAGAAGAGGATTGAGGTTGCCTCCCCAAGGCACGCCTTTAATATGTTTATAGATGTTTTTTCCAAAAGCACAAAAACTGTCAGGTATTTAATATTAAAACGAAGGAAATCCTGAGTAGTTTTTACATATTATTTTCAATGAGATTGCGGTTTAGATTTCTGAATATATCAGCAAAATCAACAGTATGTAGTTGATATTGTCATAGGTGTCAAAAGCTCATTGCTGATAGTGATATTACTTATAGACCAACATATTTTGACCAGACGGTCTTCAGCTAACGCCTGGCTTTCCTCCTTTTTTGGCAAAAATGTAGTAGTCGACTAATTCTCCACTCTTTCTTTGAAACAAAAAATGTTTCCCGTTCACAGGGTGCAGGACTAAAAGGGCAGTGCAAATGGTATTCAGTGTATGTCGATTGCTTCCAATAATGAATCAACTGTGAGGTAACCGAAGAATTAGGCGGTATCCACAAATGTTTCGAGTGATGATAACAACGTTGTCAGATGTCGTTCTCAATGGACCTTTTCTTTGATGGTAAAGGGTTTAAGAGAGCAAGAGCCCCATACCAATCAAAATCCTGACGCTTCCGGTGTTTACAACACAGCTTTGACTGTTCTGCATGCTTCATTCGATATTACGGGATGGTAGAGTGGGGAGACAAACGTTAGTGGTAAAAATAGGGAAAGAGACCCATTAGTCCACTACGATAAGCAGATGAGAATTTTCCTCATTACTTGCTATTAAATTACGACCGCTACCCAGCAAAGTTTGTGAATCAATGTAGGTTTCTCTTCGTTCGATCATTTGCGACGAAGCTTAACCGACCGCCAGTTATCTTGAATTTTCAACTAATGATATCTCCGTAAAGAGAAGGGCTCATTGAAGTAAGGGGTGTACATTGAGATGGGACCGTGGATGTAATGATAGGGATTGTTAACGAGCCATAGAAGGCCATAGCATTTGGTCTACAGCATTTTTCATGTACACAGTGGAGAACTTAAGTGGTGTGGATTATGAAGAGATCAAAGGTGATTGGTGGCAAGGATTCTACTGTATGTAACGCGTTAAGTGTGTCTGTTGTTTTGTCTGTGTGTGTCCGTATGTGTGCGTGTGTTAGACTGGAAATTCATAATTCTGGTTCCCATGGACCTAGAGAGTTCAAATTTGGTGGGTGTGCAGACAACAGGATGGGAACACTTATGGTGGGTGGCAGGGCCCGGCTCCGTCACAGTGGGCCAGTGGGCAGGGTTTGAGTGGAAATTCATGGCTCCTATTCCTATGGACCGAGAGCGCTCAAATTTGGTAGGTGTGCAGGTGGCAGGATATGGATACTCACGATGGGTGGCAGAACCTTGCTACGCCAACAATGGGCGGAGTTTGTGCGGAAAATTTGAACTTGGACCGAGAGCGTTCAAATTTGGTAGGAGTTCAGGCGGCAGGATACCTTGTCGAGTGGCAGGACTTGACTCCGCTCACAGGAGGCGAAGCGTTTGCAAAAAAGTTAATTTGGACTTGAAGCAAAATTTCAAAACCAAGGTTGAATAAGTCGGAAATAAATCGAGTTAGAACCTAAGGAGGTTTGTTCATGGCGAACGGGCGCGCACGGATTGTTTTGGGCGTTTGTGTTCTTGGCCGGAAATGGATAGCTCTTTTTCTCATCTACCGGAGCTTCCCAGAAGGATACAGACGGGAGGCTATTTTAACACGAGAAGAAGAGGCTGGCGTCAGCCGGGCGATTCGACTGGTTGATAACAAGCGGGCAAGGGTCGACGAAGAGCCTAGAAGGCTGGAGCCACTAGGTTTGTGATCCCCTTGGTGTCACCAGTGGATCCTTGGCATTCTGGTGGGTGTGTGTACATTCGTGCGATTCGAGCTACGCGCGGCAAACTGCGCGGCGAAATCCACAGCGATTGTGACGACTTTGGCGCCTATTATTGGGGCCAAAATTGGAAGTAGAGAAGATTAGTAGGATCAGCTGACCATAATAATCATCTCTACTCCAAGTTTGTGCTCCAATAATAGGCGCCAGGTCGTTCAAATGGCCACGAATTTCGCCGCGCACTTTGGCGCGCGCAGCTCGAATCGCACGAATGTACCGTCCCCCCATTTTGATAAGTGTGTAGGATATGACGTAGTGGTAGGTACACTGCGACAGGAACTGATAACAACTAATAAGAGCTGATAAAAGTCCTTAGAGGGCAGGATCTACTTACCAATTAAACCTTGACGGCTTTGGTATTTACGATCAAACGTTTACTCTTTGATAATCTCATTCAATAGGACGGGTAAGTGCAGTGTAGGGACTAATCGAAGGCATTTCTCTTTAACGTTGTGAAAATTAGCGCGATTCCACTCTGGCATATCAGCTCGAAAGTCTTCGAAGAGAGCCGTCTCCTGCCTACTTGTAGACTCTCTGCTTTCGTAGCACAATCGCGAAGATGCTCGACGAGCCGGTTGTATTCTTCGTCGATGTTGTCGATAACGGAATCTTCCCATTTACTCGCAAGGGAAGCGAATTGGTCCCAGTTGATGGAGGCCTTGGGCTTCGTTTCGTAAACTTCATAGCTCTCTTTCCACTCACTAAGAAGCAGAATCTAGCGCGGACGAGACGATGATCCGATCCCGTGTAGAACTTCGGAACACAGCGACGTCAGTCAGGCAAAATCTCCGATTGAAGATGATGTTGTCTATTTCATTATGGAACTGTCCACCAGGCAACTCCCATGTCCATCTCAAATGAGAGGGCTTCCGGAACTGCGACTCACCATGGGTAGAGGATAACATGATAAACTCGGACCCATTCACCCTGCTTATTCCATTCCATTCCACGAGTGTCCCGATGTGAAACTTTTCAGCCGTTCTTCTGCAGCCAATCTTGGCGTTAAAGTCACCTGCGATGACCTTGAAGAGAGTGTGATCTTCTCTGTAGAGCCTCTCCAGATCCATATAAAAGGCTTCCAACTCCTCTTCTTCGTAGCTCGATGTTGGTGCGTAAGCAACGAAGATGGTTAGAGCTGAGGTCGACCCACATCTTCTTAATCGCAAAAGTCCGATTCGGGTTCGAGCTTTCGTACGAATCGATGTCCATTTCCAGGTGCGTGCCTGGCAGCCTGTTTTAGCCCTGAGATTTTAGCAGCCTCTTCCGAGCGGTCCTACCCAATGCTGCCGTATTGGGGGCTCCCTCAGGTTCAGGGGAGTGAGGCCCATTTCTATCACTGCTTTTGGCGTGTAGATACCCAACGTGCAGCTTGCCAGGCTCTGACGTGGGGTTAGGTTGACTCCGGGGGCTTGCCAGGCTCTCCCGCAGTGGACGAGGGGCTCTGTTTCTGGAGGCTGCAGCGAATCGCCTCCCAGATGCTTCCCAGTCACTCGAATGCAAGCTTTTGAGTCGATGGGCAGAATGCCAACTGCGCCCACAGACTCTCCACACACGTATGTGTGGGTGTGAGGAACAGAGGATATATCGACCCAGCACAACAAAACAAGGAGTCCATCCCGTGAATCCACCTGCGTCTCTGGGCAAGTACCGGTGACTTTTGGTCGGCGATTTATTCCCTTATCCGCCACCCGGAGACGCCCTGCGTAGTCTCGTCACTAACCGGCTGGGGATCCTTCAGTGAGAGGGAACCCTCAGTGAAGGTGATCCGTAGGATGGTATAGTAGGTTGACAAAAATGAGTGGTATTATAAGTGCATTGATAGGGACCCATTGGCGGCACTATGATAAGCAGATGAGAATTTTCCTCATTTCTTGCTAATAGACTACGACCGCTACCCAGCAAGATTTGTAACTTAATGAAGGGTTTTCTTCTTTTGATATCATTTGCGACAAAACTTACCCGTCCGCTAGTGATCTGCAATTCTCAATTAATGATATCTCCGTAAAGAAAGAGAAAGTAAAGATATCTCCATTAATAATAACATCTGATAATATTGTTATCATTACTCGAAACATTTGAGTGCTGCCCAAGGCCATGGTTGCCTAACAATCGGGTCTCTAACGGGGATTTATGCTTAATAACGAGAGCAAACGATTGGGATTCCCAGTCAAAGGCTTAGGCACCGACTCACACTGCATACCGGTTGCACTGCTATCTTAGCCCTGCATCAAACTTCGTGTACAGGAAATTATTTGTTCCAAAGAAGGAGTAGAGAGTTAGTTGTAGCCGAGTATTACAACAATATGGTTGAAGAAGGAGGGAAGCCAGGCGTTAGTCGGGCAGACCGACTGGTTTATGCAGAAGCTGGTTGTCGAATGCTTGCAGTCGGTCAGGGAGAATGCAATCTGAGAAACCTATTCCGATCTTCGATTTTTCGAAATTGCTCTATTCCTTGACAGAATGAAAAACAGGTTCCCGTTGTCTCCCTAAGTATGAGTTGTGTGAAGGTTGTTGCTCCAAAGTTGTTCATTTTCAAAATTTGGTTGGTAGAGCTAGATCATGTTTCAAGCAGAAATTTTCGAGTTTCTGGAAAAAAACGCACGTTCATTCTCAGTTTCGTTTGAATTAGCTCTCATTGCTATTCATTTCATGATCAGTGCGTCTCATGAATTTTTTTGTGGTGAAACAGAATAGGTGTGTGTATATAGCGTGGGGAAAATCTAAAGCCGGAATATTCTGCGAATTACCAGAATAAGTGTTGTTGGAAGGATATCGCTGTCTAAGGATAGGGGGAGCCAATATGAGGAGCGCTCCCAAATGCAAATTTCTTTCAACTATGTTTTCTACGCTTCAGGGAATAATGTCTTCGGAATAACACTGAAGAGTGGAACGAAGCAGTTAGAAGCGTTTTCAACAGCTATTTTACCATTCTATTTGGTCAGCAGCTACGAAGATACTGATGTCATCTACAAGTGGTTGCTTGCTGCTCGGGAGACTTTTCAAGAGAAACGTTTCTCTATTTTCAAGGTTGTCATTTCATCAATATTGATCAATAGAAATAAATGCAGGTAGTACTAACTATGTATGTGTTGCTACACTTGATTTTATATTGTTGTAAATGGAAAAGATTGCAGAAAGCGGACCGTTGCTGAGCTGTTCCAACGTGATAGCTTCAAATTTCAAAAAACCTGAGTGAAGGCATTACACTGACTGTTGTCGACAAGCTATTTTAATAGCTGATTGTTGTCGACAAGCTATTTTAATATAAAAAAATAGTCGCTCCATTAGAGGCGCCATTGGAGTAGAGAGCACATCAGCTCATTATAAGTACTTATTAGGTTTAGATACTTATTAACCCAGAAACCGTCTCGAATCTGACGAAAAAAGATTTGCGTTAGTTTACCTAGATCAGATAATCATTGACGACCTCGCTGAATAGAAACAATTATTCCGCTTCAATGTATACTACAAGCTGGCTTAGGCTCCTGCTTAAATCTTCAACATCGGATGCTCCCAATGGCATGTCAATACGAGCGAATAATTAGAGAGGTTTCAGTGCGAAGTCACGGGGGACTCACTAGTGTCAGCTGAAGTCCGACGGATGGGCGTCGAAACCGCTCCAATGATTATCATGTCGATTGCTGCTATGATTCTATTCGTAGTGTGTTCGTCCCTCAGGTAAGTCATCTCATCTTTCCTTTTTGCCCACTTTTTCTATTTCGTTATACTTTTTTTCTGATGGTTCTGTAGAAATCAACTTTATAGAATTGCTTTGGACGATAAAGTTCCATTTTCCTTGATTTTTCTTCGGCGCAGAGCGACCATTGATTTTGGTTGCTGATTATATCAAAAATTCCCGAAGAAAAAATTGGCCGAACTACAAAAACTGGATCAAATTAGGTCCATCTAGGCACGAGGTAAAAGGTTTCGTGAAACTATTCTACTAGAATTTGATTCGTTGAAAAATATGGAAGAATTATCTTCAATTTCGAAACCCGTTTCTCCATTCTTTTTCATCAGAACTAGTGAATCTGGTTGAAGTGTTCGCTGTTGGATGGAATTGCCAGCAAATAAAATCGCCTCATTCTCTCAGCGGGTTGCAGACAAAATCTCGCAACATTCCTGTTTTCTTTGTTGCTGACTAGAAACTTAGCATGATGCTGGGGTGGAGGAGGTGGTGATTTTTGGAGATTGTGAATTGCACTGATTTGCCCTCGTAAGAGTGTTTACGAGGTTTTGTTTTGTTCTTTAGTTCTAGTCAAGATTAGAGGGTCGAGTTTTGTACCGTTTTCACCGGTTTTCGTGGGCCAAAATCACTGACCTCTCTGTCATGCAAGTATCGCTTCAGTTGTTTGGGTGACGGGTGCCTCGACTGTTACAAATTTTTCAGGCAAACATCGATAGCATGTAAACCCTTCTTTTGAACCCTATTACTATCCCAGCCACTATTCCTTTCTGATCAGATGATGAAGTAATGAAACAGCAAATGAGAGAAGTTCCATCAAAATCGTGAGATTTTAACGAATGTTTTTAGAATCAGTGCGCTTGCGCACAAGAACAATACAAAATTCAAAGTCGACGGCTCAAGATCACGCAAACAAAAAGAGCATTTTTTCGGTGGTAGTGATGTCGGATACTCCTCGCCAATAATGCTCTTGAACGGAGGGAGCGAAAAAGGCCGTTTCAAGAAGCTGACCAAGTCGGATTTTGAAAACTTACATCGGTCGAATGAGTCGAATTTCAACAGACTTCCTTATTTATTTTAATATTCTTCTCATGAGAAATGCTATTTCTTCATGATAGGCTATGATTTTTGTTACATTACTACATTGTTTGATCTTTCATTGTTGCATTGCTGGAATAATGTTGTGACAAAATGCAACATTCGCATCCATATAACGTTGGGTATGAACACAACTATCCTTTCTTTTATGAACCCGAGTAAGAATAACAAGAATACAGTTCACTTACATATCTTCAGTATGACTGCCTATTATTTTTAGGCGTGATCCATCTCGAGCAAAGCCATGGGAGTCGTTAATCGGTTGCCTAATCCCACTTCTGGCTTTAGTATCCAGTACAGGGCTTTTGTCTTGGTGCGGCTGGAAGTTCCAGGTAGGGTTGCATCTGGATGGCAGTCGAACAAAGTAGGAAGCAGTCTGGCACAACTGCGAGAAAAAGTTTGACACATTATGTTCAGTGAAATGCAGCGAATAGAGCTATTTTCTCATGTAATTTGCAAAAACTAGTTAACTGTGTTACCTGTGTGACACAATCTTCCCGAGGAACTTGTTAGCATGAGCATTTGTCTTATCCAACACTTTTACAGCTCGCCTAGCCGATATGCTGGATAGAAAATTGCCTAGACAAATCTATTTAACATTAGTTCTTTAGCCGATCGAGAGTTCAAATGTACAAGTTGCAGTCTATAATCGTAGCCGCGTTCTTCTTGGTGCTTTCCGTTGGTGTTGACGACGTCTTCATCATTCTTCGTGCTTGGGATCGAACCAATACTGAAGAGGAGGTGCCAGAACGCATGGCTCGAACCCTTGAAGATGCTGGACCAAGCATTCTCATCAGGTGAATAAACCAATTCTAGTGTTTGGATCACTGTGAGCAACGGCTAACTCTAGTACTGTTCCATAATGCTGATTAAAAGTACTACGGGAGATATGGGAAGCGAATCCGTTCAACTCCGCTCAAAAATGTCCCGTCTGTAAGAGGAAATAGGGAAAGAACTAATTTCCTACTTTTAGTTGATCACGGTCCATAATTAACGAAGCCAATTTCAAAAAATTAATTAAAGTAACTGGAAAATCGTTTTTTCAGAGGCATCATTATTTCATGAGCAGTTTGATAGATTATCGAAGCATCGTACTAGAGAATCGCAAGTTCATCACTCAACTCACATCAACTGCTCCTTTGTACTCACTTCCTTTTTGAATACCTTTGTTGGGATGACAACTGGTACTTGCAAATAACGGACAAAAGCAGTGGAATTTTCTCCGCTTCAAACTTTAGATCGACTCAGTCATGTACAAGATAAACCAGAGTTTCGAGACCAGTCTCGGGAAATAAAACTGATCTTTATTATTTAAATACTCTTGTGCCGTGCGAGGTTGTTAGGTGGAACGATTTATTAATTCAATGGCCTAACGTTTCGACGCTATCGTCTTCTTCAGAGGCCTAAAGCAATTCGAGATGATTTGCACAGTATCCAAAAAGCGTATCTCCCCTTTGGCGAATGAGACAACAAATTCAAACCCACAATTCGAATCTTAACTCACCAGGGTTCCACCGCTCAAGCGGATGTAAATCCACTGTCGCCACAGGCGACTGTCAGTAGCGAATGAGACTTCTTGTGTTGTCCCCCTTATACTTGTGATAAGGAAGATCACGTCGTAATGCTACTGAGTCATAAGCCGCAGTGCGGTATATACGGCAAAAGATCGTTGGTGGTTGTAGATGGGCACTCATCTCTACCGTTCATTTTAGGATTTTGCCGATATACCGCACTGCGGCTTTTGACTCAGTAGCATTACGACGTGATCTTCCTTATCACAAGTATAAGGGGGACAACACAAGAAGTCTCATTCGCTACTGACAGTCGCCTGTGGCGATAGCGGATTTACATCCGCTTGAGCGGTGGAACCCTGGTGAGTTAAGATTCGAATTGTGGGTTTGAATTTGTTGTCTCATTCGCCAAAGGGGAGATACGCTTTTTGGATACTGTGCAAATCATCTCGAATTGCTTTAGGCCCTTGAAGAAGACGATAGCGTCGAAACGTTAGGCCATTGAACTAATAAATCGTTCCACCTAACAACCTCGCACGGCACAAGAGTATTTAAATAATAAACAACTATGCCGGGATTAAAGCAAGAGAGAAGTTGGAAACTAAAACTGTTCTGTTGTATACTGTAGCACTTGCTGTGCACCTTTACAAAACCCGACCCGCACATCCAGCGATTGTAGTCGATCTCGCCCTTGAAAGTGAGCCGATAGTGAGCGAAGCTTTTTTTTGGATTGATCGACAGAGCGAGTTTGTTTGTTAAGCGAGTAGCTATCCATGACAAATTGACTCTGCCTTTCCCGACATGTTTGGGGGGTTGGTTCAGTTGCCGGCTTATATTGAATGTCGGGTCAACACCACTGTATTTTGAATGGATATAGTTTCAGTTCAATCACCAATGCCATGGCGTTCTTCATTGGCATGAGTTCTCAAACGCCAGCAGTGCGATCATTCTCCCTGTATTCAGCGATTGCCATAAGTCTCTGTTTCATCTATCAACTGGTCATGTTTTGTGCTGTGCTAGCCGCCAGTGGTTATCGTGAACGAAGCGGTCATCAAAGCTTTCTGTGCTGGAAAAAAGCAAATCCAAAGGTGAGTACCCATTGACGGTTGATACCATGATGAAGAGAATCAAAGTGTTCTTGTTACATTGTGTTTCTATTTAGAAAGTCACATTTTGAGTTGTTCATTACTTGCTCCCCTGATGAGACGTGGAGTCGAAATTTTGGGATCGCAACCCTTCTAGACAATATGAATCGACTAAACTTGATCACAAGCAGAAGTCTCAGTGAACTGCAGGGGAGTCCGCAGTGTTGATTGACAAGGGTTTAGGCCAGATCATTGCTTGTGGAACGAATTGCGGAAGTACAGGGAGCAGTTATCCGAGTATATTCTCGAATTCTACCGACATGGCCTACCAGGTACGTTTAATTTCACACAAACCTCTTCCTTCAAGAAGTTTTTCGCCCATTTCCACCGAGTAGCCGACAAATTCATCCTATTTAGATTCAAATACTCTTAGAAAATTAGAAAGTTTTTATTTCTTTCGGATGGCAATCGTGCTAGACCACGGATCTCTTTCACTGAGTGTTCTCTTTCACTGGAGGATCTGTGCCCGATCGGTGTCGAGGCTAAAAGGTGCTGCCCTAGGTGGCGGACAGGGGAGTAAATCGCGGGAAAATATCAACGGTGATTGCTCGGAGATTAAGACGTGCTTAAAAGGTTGGACTTCTTGTTTTGCAGTACGAGGTCGATCTATATCTTCTGTTAATAAATTGCAGTCGAAGGACTGGGAAGATCCGGGAACTGATTTGGGTCCGACTACAATAACTAAGCCTTTTGTCCTCTCTTGAGCACTACATACTAGTGTGCCGCATGCATAGTCTAAGTGTCAGATCCTCAATGAAATCTCGTGTAGACCAATTAGTCTTTTGGTGTAGCTCACCCGTTCTGCTGACTTGTATCGAACTCGACTGAGAGGGGGGCGGGCGAATCCATCGCCGATAAAATGAGTTACTCACACATGGTGCATGACGCATCGCGCGGCAAGAGTGAAGCCAAATCTCAACGTTACAAATCATAACAATCGAGCGCACTTCATCTTCATCGCAGTCAAATAGGCATCGAAAACTGAAGAGGTAACTAATAATTAGAGGCGCGGGAGGCGGTAAGCCTTTTCGAAGAGTATTTTTGCATAGGGATTAGACAATGAAAGAAACAAAACCTTCAGTTCCCAAAAGAAAAAAACCTTGTTCCTACATATCTTGATATCTCACTAAATCGCGGCATCATTCGAGCAACAGGTGCAAACCTCAGTCAGATTGTGTCTCTCGCTGCATGTGATGCACGACCTCATTGACTCCACAATAGAAAACCCGTCTGCTTTTTGGTACCCCTACATTTTCTTGTTTCAGGACCATGTTGTCAATTTTCATGTGCTTCTACTATTACGCGTGTGCGGTAGGAATACTGCAGCTACGGACCTTAATCACTATTGAGAAGATGGCGTTGCCAGATTCATACCTTCAGACCTTTCAAACCTCGTTCGAGGCTTCAATAAAAAATATGCAACCGATCAGTGTATTTATACTGAATCCAGGAGATCTGCGTGATCCCAAGCGGCTAAAGAGTATGTTCTTCAAGAGGTATTAGATATACGAGAAACAGTGCCTTCGAAATTGCAGCCATCAAACAAATTGTACATGATTTCGAAAACGCTACCTATAGCTATGGATCTGAGAGCACATTCTTTTGGATCCCTTTATACGAGGAATTCTTAAATGTAAGTTTCCTGTCAAAGTTACTCGTTGAAAACCTCATACGCCAGTTATCTCGTCAAGTCGCTATTTCGTAGTATTGTCTGGATGCTCAAATATATTTGGTTTTTACTGTCACTTGATACCGGGAGATAGCGATAGCAAAAAGCACCCTTGCCAGGAGGGATCATTTGCATTCAGTGAACCACTCTAGCAGAGGCTTCGCGCTGAATGTATTATATGCGACAACTTTAGAGAGCATTCGTTGGAAAAATGTGACCAAATGTTCTTTGCTGCTTTGCTAGTATTTTCTCCATATCGTTTCAGTTTTACGGTGAGACAGACGAATTCACGTATGCTGAGATGCCTACATTCTTCAAGTCAGCCACATATTTCTATCTGACAACATTCGTCAAATACAACGAAAGTGCATGTTTGGCAAACAATCCTCAATGTATAACGTCGTTTTTTTTCATGACTAATTTCCACGGAGTAAGAACTACTTGATATTTACTTTAGAAATCCTTTTCGTCTACTATCAATAATACAAGATTCGTTGATTTCGTACAATGCTTAGGAACTTGGTGACATGCACTAAAGGTTCAACACACCCATTCAGCACATCAAATATCACGAACTGATCCCAGCCTTGAAGGATTGGCGACGCATAGCTGCCAACTATCCCGACTTCGATGTAGTTCCTTATACAGAACATGCACCATTTATCGACCAGGTAATTTGCTATTACTATGTATTTGAGGCCTTTTCAAATTGTCATCATTATTTACGACGTGCCAAACATCAAGCTTCTGGCGCGAACTTACTAAATTATTGCCGAGACCCATTTGAATTGTTAGACAACTGTGACCAAATCACCGCCCTTATGGCTCTCTTTCCTCAAAACCGTCTTACTCTGTTCTGAAAACATATTCATCGTCGAACTATATCTCGCAATCTATATGTACCAGTCAAATCGCTCGGCTAACGCTAGGCTCTCCTAATTCTTGTGTCAAACACCCTATGAGAAATGTTGAACTGAAGAATTTTTTTCCGTATTCCAAGTTTACAGTTTCTAAGTTTTCCTTCGTTTAGCCGAGTTTGGGTTTTTTCCCGCTGTTTAGCTGAGTGAGAGTATGAAACTGAAACAGAGCTCGAAATCCTTCTCTGACACAACAGAAATCGAAAGCTTTCCTCCTCCTTTGATAAAGTTGTAGTAAATCCAACTCTCGACTCCTTTTTTGAAACAAATAACAGCTTCTGGCACACGAATTTTGACACGGGACTAACAGGGCTGTGCGAATGGTTTTCAGTTAAAGTCGGTGCTTACGCCTTTGATTGGAAGTCTCAAACTTTTGCTGTCTTCCTTAGAAATAAATACCCATCAAAAACCCAAATCCAATTCAAATGTTAGACAGTCAAAGATGATGCTGTGGAGATGTTCTGAGTAATGATACCACCGTTAACAGATTTTCTTTATCAATGGACTCTTCTTGACGGAGATATCATTAGTTAAGAACTCGTGGTTACTGGCGGTCGATCAAGTTTTGTCGCAAATGATATCAAGCAAAGAGGGTCCTTCATTGACTCACAAACCTTGCTGGGTAGCGGTCGTAATCTAATAGTAAGAAATGAACAAGGTTCTAATCTGCTTATCGTATTGCCTTGATGGGCCCCTATCGCTACACTTAAACTCACTTTTGTCACCCTGCTCTACCATACCGTCTTATCGAATGAAACATACCGAACGGCCAAAGCTACATCGTAGATACCAAAGACGTTAGGATTTTGATCATTGGGTGACCTCTCTTAGGTGCCCCATTTTCACATGATCAGTTCTTGTCACCGAGTACCTACGATCCCGTCATATCCTACATCGCTTACTTAAATGCTGAGGTTCTACTATCAGTACGAAGAGTGTAATCCTACCAAGTTTGAACGCTCTAGGTCTACGTAAACAGGAGCTATTAATTTGCGGCCCGCATCGCCCCCTGTGCACGGAGTCCTGTCCTGCCACTTACCATAAGTGTTCCCATCCTGCCCACCTACTCCTACCAAATTTGTACGCTCTAGGTCCACGGGGACAGGAGTTATGAATTTGCGGCCCAAAATTTCTAACACGCACGCCCCGCCCCCTGTCATTGGGGTCTGGTCCCGACACCATCCATAGGTATTCCCATCCTGCCCCTTTACTCCTACCAAATTTGAACGCTCTACGTCCACGGGGACAGGAGTTATGAATTTCCGGTCAGACACACACACCGGCACACACACAAACAAACAAACACACACACAAACACACCGACACACCAACAGACACACTTAGCGAATTCTATAAAGTAGGATAGTTCACCAAGTGCTTCTACTTGCTTGTCGGTGTGTTTTTGTGTTTGACCAGAAGTTTGTGATTGCTATCTTCCTAAGCCCAGGGAGTTCAATTGTGAAAACGATACAGACAGTAGGATGGAAGCACTAATGGTGGGTGCCTGGAAGCGATAACAACTGAAAGGGGCTGATAGGGAGCTTTGAAAGGCAACAGTCGCTGGAAACGTTGCGCCTTTCGCAATGACCTTGTGACCTTTATACTTTGGTGGGTGATATGGTGTGTGATAGGATCTCTGATGATTGGTGACAGGAACTAGTAACATCTGAAATAGGGAGCATGGAAGACAAAGGCCGCGAGGTGAACACCGAGATCAACCAAACCGGACAGGAGGCGATAGGGCTGATAGGGAGCTCCTAAGGCAAGAGTCGCTAAGTTTTTGCGCTTTCACCGTTGACAGTTCAAACCTTGAGACTTTGAAGAGGATGTAGACTATCGGGATCGCACATGTTCGGCGAATAACAACTGATGATCAGCGCTACATCACTTCCTCCTATACTATGGCAGCAGAGCGTTATCACTTCGGCGTATGATATCGATTGTGACTGGATCGCAAATAACGGATCACAGGAGTTGATAACAGCTGATAAAGACTGCTTAACTTTCATGTTTTTATCCCTTTTGCGCATATCATGCAGCCTCACAGGGGGCGAGGAGTACGCGATAGAAATTTTGGGCCGCAAATTCATAACTCCTGTTTGCGTTGAACTAGACGTTGAAACTCAGTAGGATTACACTTTTCGTAGCATTTTAATAAGCGATTCATGATATGACGGGATCATAGGTACCTGGTGAGAAAAGATAAGGGACCTAACAAGGAATGTCTTTCAGGGAGTGGGACGTTTTTCGAGAATGGTTGTTTGCATGGTGTAGAGGCATGAGCACTGAGTACAGAGCTATGGTCTATTTCCGCTAGATGGCCTTTTGAATGTCAGAAAAAGAGTGAAAATGATTTTGTCAGAAATGGCTGTTTTAACCCACTAAGCGCCGTTTATCTCATTCATGGCGTCGACTGTCCGCACAGTAGAAGGCGCCAGTGGACTGCGCATCAAAAATAACGTGAACGGTAGCCAAAAAAGGGAGCCAAATGTTGAAATATGTTGAAAAGTGCGGCGAAGTTCCATATGTGCTCTCCACGATTGAGCTGCTGTTAGCGAAGGATGGTGTGGTGGATAGCGATATGGACTTCGAGTTGAAAAGGCTGGGTTGATGGTTCGGATCCCTGAGGCTTTGTCGTTTTTGCATGTTATGCTGCCACCTACAGATTGGCTTTATGTGTATGTGCGGGAGGATTCGCTACAGTAAAAGTTGGTCAAAAATGTGTAAGCATTGAAACGTGTGATTATAGGTTCATGGTTTGGTTGGGGCGGAAGTAGAATCCGCGTATTCGGTCCGTATACGGTTTCTTCAGGAAATGTGAGGTTGTATTCATGGAGGGATTCATAAGGCCGGCCAATTTCTAGGTAGTTCATTGTTCATCATTTATACGTATGCCCTGTGCCCGCTCACTCCATTCTCTCTAGCTTATCCCTCCCCAAGACAATCACCTTCATGTAACTACATACAAGCTAAATTTACTCAAGATTACTATCAGACCGCGGGAACCATTTTTATCAACAAGAATGAAATGAAAGATAAGATATAAAAAATCACAGCTTATCGTTCTGATTTGCCTGTAAGTAGCACAGCAACACAACCATTCTACAATGTGAGCGGGTTATGACATAGGTGAAGGTAGGCTGTGCTTGTGAGTCACCAAGGAATTACTACCTGGCCTACCCACGAAACAGCTAATGAATGATGTGGGTATTCCCACGTCGATATCATGTTATAAATCACCCAATTGCCGTGGCTTCGGAAGGAAGGCAGCGCAAAAGCTGAGCACAGTATGCTCTTCATGTCTGTTCGAAATTCTGTGACAATGGCGGAAAATACGATTGATTCGCCGTGTGTCGATCAGCGCGCTCCTGACGAACATGCCGAACAACATGCTGAACAGGGGTACAATCGGCACTTCAAGAAGAATGCCAATACACCAACGGTGGCAACAGCCATAGCACAGAGTCGCAACGTCGAATCTCGTGGATCGCGAGTCAGACAGGTGTGTACGGTACAGAGTGGTACACCGAAAAAGAAAATCTTTCAAGATTCATCCCAGTTTGGGAGCCAATTATCCAAATCCCACCACCCAGAAAACTGGGAGAGGGCAGGTCTGTCCCTACGATCGCCGCTTACATTCCGTTCCGGAACGCCACGACACCGTGGTCGTCCCTGATGTTCCATAAGTGGTGGTGGTACTCCTGCTGCTACTCGAATTAACACGTCGAGCGCAGTATTTCCGTTGTGACTACCGTATCCTTCTACAAAAATTCACTTTTTTACTTCGTAGCGACTACAGTATCCTTCTACTGGCTTGTAGAGTTTAGTGCTGATCCTGGTCACGACGATGACCAGTCAGGCAATTGCTTTGGCCCCGGTGCATATGGAGCCAATGTGGAGTTGGCAGCATAAGATGCAAAAACGGCATCGCCCAGAATACCCGAACCATCAACCTAGCCTAGACGCCCAAATCGAAGCCCACATCGCTATCCAGTACACCACCTGTCTCTCCATGAATCAGCCGTGGAGAGCACATATGAAAGTTCCCTACACTTTTCAACATGTTTCAACATGTAGCTAATTTTTGGCTACTGTTCACGTTATACTCAATGCGCAGTCCACTGGCCCCTTCTACTGTGCGGACAGTCGACACCATGAATGAAAGAAACGACGCTTAGTGGGTTAAAACGGCAACTTCTGACAAAATGATTTCACTACTTTTTTTAGCATTCAGAAGTCATTTAGCGATCATAGTTCTGTAATCAGTGCTCATGCCCCTACACTATGCGAAAAACCATTTTCAAAAAGAGTCCTACGCTCTGAAAGACCTTCCTTGTGAGGGAGGCCACCTACTGATCAAAATCCCAACGTTCTCGGTATTTGCGAAGTAGCATTGACCGTTCAGTATGTTTCGTTCGATGTAACGGGATGCTAGAGTAAGGTGACAAAAGTGAGCGGCAGGAGCAGGGATGAGAAATCATTAGCCGCGCTATTAGATTACGACCGCATCCCAGCAAATTTTGTGTTT